AAGAAATGCAATGACATTTATAGATAAACAACTTCCTAAAAATGGCACCAGTATGTGCATATTGCCAACATACAGTAAATACAGTTACATTTAGCATCTATTATATAGAGTACTAAAAGATGCTATTGTATCCTGCAAAAATCCATCTAGCATTATCATTGAGAAGGCAGACAAAGATACTGGATGGAGGTCATGAAGAGAAATATGATTTCCTGCAGAGTAAACACCAGTGCCAAAGCAAAAAAGAAAATAAGTACATTGTAATGCAAAATGGAAATCAGCACACAGTGTAAATGATGTTTGAGAGGGAAGGAATTAACACATTTTCCTAGCTGCATATACCATACCTGTGGTCTGTTGTTGGTTGACCGAGAAACATAGAGGATATTAGTGCCATAGCTGTACAAGCAAGAAAAACACATTTCTAACAGCCTAATTTAGATTTCCTCTATAAATCCTTGAATACAATTTAGGGCTGCATTTCTGCTCCATATTCCACTGCCCACTTTTCCCCTTTCATATAAATGTGTCTCAAAATGATGTCATTAGAGCTATCTCCTCTCTAATGCAAGACACAAGTTCTAATGCCCTTCTTATACTTCATTAAAAGGATCCTCTTGAAAACGCATATTTTTTTCTCTCTTTTCTGCAGTCTTTTGAGACTAACATCCATTACACATGAAGTCTTGTTAGTGAAATACTGAAAAACATTATATTCGTACAGCAAGATAAAAAGCTGTGAACTAAAACATAGAACATCTTTTTAGATACTTTTTAACATCAATATTTTATTTATTCACCTACGCTTGCTGAAATTATTACTGCTATTAAAATGGGGTTATCTTTTTCTGGAGAATGTTGCTTTACACCCCTTTATATGCTTTTGCAACATACTATTTTCTATTTTTATTACGCTTGGGACTCAGAATACAAAGTATTTATATCATGTAGCAGAAATGTTATAATAAGGCCATTTACTGTTTTTGGTCCCATAAAGGGCCTTAGCAAAATCTTTTAACCAACTAGGTTTCCTTAAAAGTAAACAAACAATGAAGATAATTCTGTGAAAAATTTATAAATAAAAAAACTGCTAAAAATAATAGTGTTTATTCGGGCAACTTGCTACTTATTATAGTTCATGCTTGCAGTAACTTGCTATAAAAATGTACAAAACTATACTTTTTTCAGATTTCATGAGTTATGAGTGACAATGGCAAAAAGTAAAAAACAAATAGCCTAGCTTTAATGCACATTGCATAGTACAAACTATAAAGACTACATTATATAAAACTAGAGTACCAGTCTTATTCTTATTCAGCTCTTTGGGTTCTCAGAACATTTTGCAATCTAACTGAAGCTTACAATACTTGGTATGGGAAATGCATCAGCTAGTCAAAGAAGGCACCTAACCATTAAAAAGCATATTGCAAAAATAATGCATCAGTGTTAATATGATTTCTAGATGCAGCAGAGAAAATCTACGGAAACTATCCCTCTCCTTCAGAAACTAGCCCACTCATTCAGGAATTGGCCATCTCCTTTGGGAACTAGCCCTCTCCTTTGGGGACTAGCTCATTCCTTCAGGAACAGCATAACTCTTGTAATGGTTACTGTGCTAGAAGTACCCTGGCATGGCACCCTCCTAATGGGACAAACTGTTTTAGCCGCTAAATTGAAGAAGCTTGTGGCCAATCTCGCCAATCTGCTCTTAGCCAATGACTAACCCTCGGGAGATGTAATATGTACGGAATTGACATTAGTCAGTCCAGAACCCGTGTTCAAATTGCTATGGATGCCCTAATGTTGCTGCCTGAGGTGGAATTACACCTATGGTAAGAATATCAAACAACTCTGTATGCACAACACTTTAAATGGAAATGCTGCACATATGATACTTCCTTAACTAAACTTGGAATTCAGAGTGAATTTTAAAGGAGCACTATAGGGTCAGGAACACAAACATGTATTCCTGAACCTATTGGGTTAAAACCACCATCTAGCCATCCTGTTCCCCTCATGCCTCCCTAAAAATAGTAAAATCTTACTTGTATTCAAGCCTGAAGCTGTAACTCTGCATGCTGTTTGCCTCAGAAAAACAACCTGTCTGCTGACATCATCAGAAGTAGTGGCCTGATCCAATCACAATACTTCCCCATAGGATTGGCTGAGACCGACAAAGAGGCAGACCAGGGGCAGAGCCAGCACAATTCAAACACAGCCCTGGCCAATCAGCATCTCCTCATAGAGATGAATTGAATCAATAAATCTCTATGAGGAAAGTTAAGTGTCTGTATGCAGAGGGAGGAGACACTGAGTGTTTGGATGCATTTTAGGCAGCCATGACCCAGGAAGGACTTCTAACAGCCATCTAAAGAGTGACCAGTGAAGTTATCACTAGGCTGTATTGTAAACACTGCATTTTCTCTGAAAAGACAGTGTTTACAGCAAAAAGCCTGAAGGTAATGATTCTACTCACCAGAACAAATTCAATAAGCTGTAGTTGTTCTGGTGACTATAATGACTCTTTAAATGTAATGTAAAAATAGCCAAACTGGAAAAATTCTGTAAGTCATCTATGCTGTAAATTAGGCTAATCTACCCTTAAATTTGAAACTCACTCTAAACCCTGATAGATTACAAGCGCCATGACCACTTCAAAACTCTGAAGTGGTCTTAATGCTTACAGTAGCCCTATTGGACTAAAACAGCCAAGCTTTGCATATTTGGGCTTTTTTTTATTTTTACTGACAAAGGAGAGCATAAAAGACCTCCCACAATGGGTCCTTCTACTCTCCCAAGTATAACAACCAAAGTGTGGTTGCTATGGAGACTCCCCAGCCAGAGCTGCTAGTGTTGGCTAAGGAGTATAAGAATGGAGTGACAGCATCACACAGGAGGTGTGAAGACTGGTGGAAGAGTGGAGGATAGACCAGAGGTGGGTGTTACATAAAGAGTAAAATCCATGAAGCTCAGATGGCGGTGCTGGAATAGAGGTGCGAATATCTTAATATTTTACATTATGTTATATGATAACATTGTATATGAGGGGTAATTTAAGGTATGTTTTTTCATCACAGATCCACTTTAAAAATTAAATAATTATACAGTGGTAAAGTAAAGTGAGTAAATGTAAAAATGAATGCATCCAAAAAGAAACACTGACTTAATTCATACAATAATACAATTATTTGAGTATACAGAAAGGCATTTACAAAATAATGAGAAACAATAAAACTTCAAACAAAAATGTAAGAAAACAACTTAAAGGTAAACTTCTTAATAGAGCTAGAAGTATTATTTAAAATGATAAAATAAAAAGAGAGAGGAGAAGGGAGGCAGTGGGTCATGTCGGGCAAGCTTTGGCATTAACAAACAAGTACAAAGCATACATTTCAGGTGGAGGTAAAGGAGAGAAACTCAGTCCAGGGCTAAACAGCCAAACTAAAGAACCAGTAAATAACTTCATAGAAAGCAGTTCTTCAACTTTGGTGAACCACTACTGGAGGATGGGAACAGCAAATATCCTCTAGAGAGTGGGGGGAGGGGGAGTAATCATTTTTTGCAATTAACAATTGATATGGGAGAAAGGTGAAAAAGTATAGCTTCTGAAGTGAATGGGATGTTCAAATTTGTTCAAAATCTTTTCATGTATAGCTTTCAAATAGAAATTGTTGACACCAGATATGAAACATTGATCAGATCCCTCCCCCGCAATTTTTGATTTCCCATAATTGTTAAATAGGCCATTATATTCTGACCCTAAACATGTGATTCTGATCATTGCAGGACCACTATAAAACTTTTAACAAACTGAATCACATAAGAATTACCAGTGAGGAGATAAAAGAAAATTTGTTTTCTTTCTCTCATGCATAAAGACCTCATGTGACCAATTTCTCACTTTTTTTTGATTAACAAACTTCAGCTCATCTTTTAGAAGCCAGGCTAGATTTTACTGCATGCGTCACTGTGGACAATTATGTACATTGTTGGGCTTCACAGATTTATACAGTTTAATTAAACATATTGTAGATAAATATCTTAGTAAGAATTTTTATTTTGCTTATTTGAAAGGGATTTTTTTTCCTTTCGTTTCATGAAATACATTTTTATAAGTAATATATGATTCCGTTGTTAGAAGTCAATGACTCAAGAGTCCAAGGATGGAACAGTGAGCCAAGAATGTAATTGTTTTAATGGTAATAAAATTATACTTTATTGAATATATTTTCACTTATTGATAGGACACAATGCTACAACATCTCATTATAGTTCTAGATTTAGATTTGGCACACAAAGCTCATTTACTAACCAGCTGCTATTTTAAAGGGTGAGATATTTTTTTCCCCTTGTTTAGTGTGCTTTATAAAATACTTTTTCTTGTTATTTATTTTTAAGACTTTTTAAAAAAATAATTTATTTTTGTTGTGCGTAAGCTTATAACTTTCGCTTGTGAGGTAGTCCCAAGACAATCCTCCAGCGCATTAAAACAGTTAAACATAGAGGTACATGATAGAACAAGCACATTTTTGGGTTATAAACAGTATGGCTTTACGTTACTTAGGTATTGTCATGATATAATAAGTAAACAATGCACATTTTTAAAAGGTTGGTAAGATAGGCATGGTTTTGTTAACAGGCTTGATCTGTATAGGTCTACTCTGGCTACGCACTTGTTATGTAGAAATAGGTGCGTCTAAGGATGCGCAAACGTTGCATATTTGAGCTTAGCAGAATAGCCCCCTTTAGGTGTCTGACATGACAGTAATCCATATTGTGTGTGTTGCATGCCTATGTGAGCGTGAGAGAGGTTTGCTTTGTTATGAGTGCCATATACGATTCTCGGATGTGTGAGTATTATTTAAAACAAGAGTAACTAAGCAGGAGTGCAAAAGATATGTGCATGGCATAATAACACTAACATCAACAGCTTATATTTACAGCTTGTGTCTCATCTTGGGTCTGGAGTGTCTGCAGTGCCCGATGAGGCAGTACCAACGCTAGTCCAAAGTCAGCTGACCCCGCATACTTGTTGTGGAGACAGTCTTATCGACCAGCTTGGATTCTTCAGTTGCGGGTCCATCCCCGGCTTGGTGTAGCTTAGTTGTCTCCCGTGCCGCGGCATGATGTTCCACTCCAGCCCCTGGTTGCCACATGGTGGCTTGCTGGTATGAGGTGCTGTGCTCGGGTATGTCGCTGGGGCTTTGGGGTTGCCTGGCAGTCTCCTTACCACATGTGTAGAAGTGGGTGTGTGTGCCCAAGTCGGTGCGACCTGTTTCCCGCCTTCGTGCTTGTCGGTGCTTACGTGGGTGGACGGCCACCTGGAATGCCTGCAGTGGGACTCCATAATGGCGTCGGCGGGTCACCGGGTGGATCCACGAGGCCACCTCCTGGGCCACATAGTATCTCATAGAGGGTCGAGCAGAGCCGGTCAAGGGCCTCCAGGGAGTAAGGCTGTAAACGGTTGTTCGTGTCCCCTCTCTGTAGCTTTTGAAGGGCGGCCATCTTTGACACGCTCCGACTGACTCGTGCCTCTGCCAATTATGTAGGCTTGCTCACTCGCTGTCGGCGTTAACCCGCTTGTCCAACGGGGACCGGGAGGACCCCCATCAGTCCATGGGGGGGGGGGTTAGGAGGTCAGTAGCGATTTCTGGGGTTTCCAGCGTCGAAAGCGAGCGGCCGCCTCTCCCCCGCTCCAGCTCCTGCAGGCCTCAGGTTGCGTTTCGGTCTATGAGCCCAACAGGCTACAAAAAGGGTATCCCCCGATTCCTTGGTGCACCCCCGACATGGGTAGTGCACCTTGGTGTGTTGTTGGGCTGAATAGCCGCCGATAATGCCTTATTTTCCGCTTGCCCGCCGGGAGCTCTGTCCCCGCACCTCTGTACAGCTTGGCGGTCAGACTCCACCCCCCCATTTTTAAGACATTTTGCAGTAGAGTTACATATATATTTTTCTGATCTAAGTAACTCTTTCAGGCATGATCCCTTCCTAGAAAAAACAAGCAAAGAAAAACTTACCTGTGAGCATGTGCAGTTTGATCCTCATATTTTGACCAGCACTCCCTCTCAGGGACAGGGGCAAGGATGTTTTAAGGGATGGGTAGAGGTGATGACTTGGTGAGTACAGAAAGGAAGGCCATGTGGACATTTTTCATCTGTTTTCTGGATGCTATGAGAGCTTACAATAGATGTCATATGTGCACAGAATTAACATTACTTTACCCAAGAACTCTAGTTACACCTCCAGTAGCAATGTGCCTGTTTTCTGTATGCACAGTATTTAATACTGAAACACTGCACATACAGACTGTAAGCACCATTGCCACTTAAATTCAGTGAGGAGGTCATGGAGCTTAGAGTAACCTTTAATCTGTGAAGTTTAGAAGAAAGGAAAGCAGTGTTTTTCTATATGTAGGAGAGTTTCATGGGGCATTTAAACGTTTGTAATATGAAGGAGAACATGAGAGAGTGAAACATGGAACCCAAGGATAGATGCAGCATAGAGAAAGTCCTGGAGGCTGGCGAAATAAGAGAACAAATGAGGCGCACTTCAAGGGTACAATGATGTGAGGGAGTGGGAGATTATTTCGAGCCCAGAGCAGGAATACAGTGTTACTTAAATTCTGAACTTTGAATTTTATTCTGAAATTGATGGGGAGTCAATAGTTAGACTGACAGACAGAGTGAACATTTGGGTTGGGGACTTCAGCAACGTTGTATGTAAATAATCTAAAGAAGCTTGTGTTAGAAGGTGCAGTGGTAGATTATGTCTAATTCCTTAATGAATAAAGAGAAAGTAGCCTCCGGATAAAAACCAAGGCTGCAAAAAAAGGGGAAGCTCCCCCCCCCCCCTTAATTTATATGTATTGTGATAAAGTGAAGGCAGATAGGCCTTCTAACCCCAGGGGGAGTATGTGTAGTTTGTGTTTTGCACAACACAACACATTGTTTAGTTATGGGCCCCTGGGGTGGAGCATTTGGAGAGAAGGGTGGGCCAATGCTCCACTCCACAGTTTAGTGGTGTTCTGGGGAGACCTAGATCCAGGCCAGGGTTTTTTGGACTGTCTCCAACCCACTGCTCAGCTGCAGGTAATCAGCTGTTGCAGTGGGAATAAACTCCTCCCGGCTAGGCAGGAAAAAGAGAGGGATTGCTGGCTTCCTCCCAGGAAGCAGGTAGGAGAGAGAGGCTGTTCTCTCCAGATAGTCAAGGTGACTAGGCACTTGGAGTGCAGAAAGGAAGCAGTCAGGGCAAGACTGGCTTGGAGCACTGGGAGTGCAGAAAGGAAGCAGTCAGGGCAAGACTGGCTTGGAGCACTGGGAGTGCAGAAAGGAAAGCAACAGGTTAGATAGCAGAGCGTTGCTCTCTAATAAGGTTGGTGCAATATTGTGTTTAGTTTAACCCTGAGAGATAGGGAACTAATGTCAGTTAGTGCTCAGACGAGCTAGGTGTTTGTTTATAGGGTTTTCTGCTAACTATTTTGGTTATCATATTGGGTGCGGGCTCCTTAAACTACAAGGTAGCAAGGTAGCCGCCATCCACAATAGGCCACTTCCTGTAACTGTGAAGCTAGTCAGGGCTGGTACAGCCCTAGGTGACGTGAATGTTCACGGTATGTGTTCTAAGGCCGCTCGACCCGATGGGTCTGAGCTGGGGAGGAGGATATGTGATAAAGTGAAGGCAGATAGGCCTTCTAACCCCAGGGGGAGTATGTGTAGTTTGTGTTTTGCACAACACAACACATTGTTTAGTTATGGGCCCCTGGGGTGGAGCATTTGGAGAGAAGGGTGGGCCAATGCTCCACTCCACAGTTTAGTGGTGTTCTGGGGAGACCTAGATCCAGGCCAGGGTTTTTTGGACTGTCTCCAACCCACTGCTCAGCTGCAGGTAATCAGCTGTTGCAGTGGGAATAAACTCCTCCCGGCTAGGCAGGAAAAAGAGAGGGATTGCTGGCTTCCTCCCAGGAAGCAGGTAGGAGAGAGAGGCTGTTCTCTCCATATAGTCAAGAAGACTAGGCACTTGGAGTGCAGAAAGGAAGCAGTCAGGGCAAGACTGGCTTGGAGCACTGGGAGTGCAGAAAGCAAAGCAGTCAGGGCAAGGCTGGCTTGGAGCACTGGGAGTGCAGAAAGGCAACAGGTTAGAGCAGAGTGTTGCTCTCTAATAAGGTTGGTGCAATATTGTGTTTAGTTTAACCCTGAGAGATAGGGAACTAATGTCAGTTAGTGCTCAGACGAGCTAGGTGTTTGTTTATAGGGTTTTCTGTTACTTTTGTTTTTCATTTTCTGCTGTATCCTGTGTGGATTTGCAAATAAAGTGCCTGAGTATATGCAATTACAAGGACTGTGCATGTTTTTACCCTAGAGGGCCGTGCTACCTGGTGACAAGGATCACAGTATTTAAAAGAATAGAAGTTTATTTTTACAAATTAAAAATAAACAGAAAGAGAAACTAGACATAGAAAATGAATTAAAACTGAACCATATAGTAAATCAAATTCTACTTATATAAGCTGATGGCGTATAACTGCTAGGGTTACAGGGTATTTTGACCCCTCTACCAACAAGTGCTTTAATGCTAAATGCAGAGTGAAAGCATTTTAAATGAAGAGATGCCACCCATACAAGCCATTAATAGCACACTGGCTATATATATTTGCTAAAGTCTTGGGACGTTGCAACCACCATACCCATTAATCCTATATTGTAAGTTGCAGTATATATATGTCTGTATGAGACATATATATATATAGTAGAAATCTAGTTTGCTACAGAGTTTATGTGAGAACAGACCTGAAAATGACTATGGTTACAGATCTCAGGCGAAGGCACTATAGAAGCGCCGAAACGCGCGTCAGGGTTCTCTCTTCTTAGAATTTAAATCACTGCACAAACTCACTTTGTCACTTCTATTATGGTGGGGAGTTTGTTGTGGGAAATTATGTGAGAGGTTATCCTCACACATCTGGACCTTTTTTGTAATACTAGCGTTTAACTTGCAAGAATATTAGCAGCTTTCCAGCCTTATTACTTTGCAACAGAGGAAATAGGGATAGTGTATCACACGTGAAGTGATAAATTTTACATACTCTGGTGAAATAGACGCCGAGAGTTCTCAAGCATTTCCCTAGCTAGATTTTTGCTACATTAGCACAATATAGCAATTGTGGCCAATTGTTCTGCTATTTCAACTATCCAGGGAGATTAGATGCTGGAATAGATCTGTAACCACAGTCATTTTCAGGTCTGTTCTCACATAAACTTATATGATTATATATATTTCTCTTTATCTACATACAATTTGAGGGTTACCCACTTGGTTGTCCCCCATATACACACTCTAGCTCCCTTATCGGAACTAAATCTTTTTCTATGTCTAATTCCTTAATGAGGAGTGGGGGGCGGGGGCTAGTATGTGTGTGGCATGGAAACCTATAGACTATAGAGAAATCAAAGAAAAGAAGGTCAGTGAATGTTCGAAACAATGCCCACTGTGTGAGGTTGAATGGTGACAAATGGTGACAAAAATAATGTTATAACCAAGGAAGGAATATATATGTTTGAAGGAGCAGAAAATAGGGACTTTGCACCACAACCCATTATGGTATCAGCTGGGACTTGTAGGAGTAGTTCTGTACATTTATTGGGGATAAAGAAGAAATGGTGATTGAGAAAGAAAAGCATGTAGTAATAAGAGTTGAGAAGAGGTGAGATGGTGAGCACTGCATGAGGGGCATCTTTTAGGAAAGAGGCTGTAGGAGGGTACAGGTAGAGAGGAAGAAAAAGAGAAAAGAATGCATGATTAAAAGTCAATGATAGGTATGTGACTGACCTGTGCAAATAACCAAGGTATTATAATTATTTATTGACATTATTGCCTCTTCAATAACTAGTAAAAAAGTATGTTAAGGATGTCTGCAAGCCTTGTGTAAAGTAAGACACATGTTTATTGTTTAATGTTTAGTTCGGAAACTTGCACTTCATTAGTGCTGATGACTATCTGTGATTAATTACAGGTTTCCATATGAAACATTACAGTTGCAGTTGGTCCAGACATATGTATGAGGGTCTTCCTTTAATGTAAAGTTTTTTTATACTGGAATACTTGGAGTTTTTTGCCTGATTGCCTGATTGCATGCTTAAGACCATTGAGCTGGAACATATGAGGATTGTTTAAATTGTTCCTGCTGACTTCAGAACAAGAGCTCTGGTCCAGTGCTTATGAGCCCAATGGTTCCACTAAACAGTGAGCTGTGTTCTGTGATTTTGCCAGTCTGGATGTTAGCATTGTTTCTTTTTTATTATTTATCTTTCTTTCTGGTTGTCTGTTGTATCAGTCTTTATTCAATTGGCATAAACTTTTAGTTAACCCAGACATACATATATAACTGCATCTAGTATATTCAATATATAACTTA